TAACCATCTACGGTCCCAATTCGTCTTCCACCTAGTTCATCGGTCTTCGATCAGGTTTTTCTCAATCGTCATATCATTCAACTTATTTACTTTTTTTTGTTTAATTAAGTTTAGATAAACTTATTATTATAAACTAACGCTTCCCTCTTCATATTGCCTAGTCACAACGACCCCGTAATACCTCACAACTACGTAACGAAAACATTTACTCAAAGTTCTTAAGATAAAAAACACTGAACAGCTGTTACTGATGATAAATCTCCTCCGCAAAATTATCAATTCCAAACGAATGACAACCTGCATCATTGTTTGCGCAGAAACAGCTGGCGGCGATCGAAGTGTTTGTGGTGGATATGGTTGCGAATGCTGCGCATACGCCATTCCCATCGTTGGTTGATTGCCGTGCATCACCTTAAACAATCCCATTATATATCCAAGCGGTAAAAAGCTACATCTTCTGAAAGCCATTTTTATGCGTTTTTTTGCATCTATGCAATGCAAAAACACATACTGTCGAGGAGTTTTTTGTGTGTGTCTGTGTGTTCGGCGATTTTCCATCTCGGGACTTACAAAAGCTACAAGACTGAAACTTTGGGATCTTAATCTACATGCAATTACGAGCCCCTATCCCCAAAATGGCCACTTTTACCCACGTGGTCCTCAAGTGCAGGCCGTGAAAATTTTTTGCGGGTAAGTTGCTAGAAAGCTGAAAATTTCAAGACATTTTCTGACAGCCCTAGTGACCAGTCTCAGTCCTCTCAGCTAGAAGAATCTGATAGAAGCAGTGCCGCTAGCGATAAAAGGTTGCGAGGAACTACGCAAAAAAACGCATCCCCGCGCCAGCAGCCGGTGCGCTGGCCAATTATTTCACATCCAGCAAAAGCCTAATGTTATTTCATACTCCAGCAAATTCGCTGACCTGTGGCGGCATAACTGCAGGCCTATCAACCGTATGGGCATTGACTGAAGGCACACGACTATTCATATGCTGCTCCATCATAAACTGCTGCTGCTGAGCTGCAGCTGCTGCCTGTTGAGCCATTTCTGCTTCTTTCAGCTGCTTCTTTGTTGGTCGCTTCCTCTTTTTGGGAGGTGCAGGAGCAATCGAAGCTCCAACATCCTAAAAAAAGAAAAAAATTTTAAAAGTAGTAAGACAAATTCCAGCTTGTCCAAAACAGATGAAACACAATCAAAAATATTTGCGTGACGAAAAAGCAGAATATTAGTAGGACAAATTGACCGGAAATGTTTATGGAATTCTTAGAAAACTTATGCAATATGATATTCCTGACTGCAGTATACCAAAAAAAACGGTGAACTAAATGCTGGTACTATTTAAAAAAATTTTGTTAAATGTGA